ATGTAGAGTAGAATTTGTGTCACGAGTAGGATTTTCATTTCGTATTTTCGTTGGTCGTTCAGAATCCTACTTCATCTTGTTTTTTTAAATTTTTTATGTTCTTGTTTGTGTTGATTTTTTAATAATATTTCGTATTTTCGTTGGTCGTTCGGAATCCTACTTCATCTTTTTTTATAAATTTTTTATGTTCTTGTTTGTGTTGATTTTTAAAATAATATTTATAGTATTTCTTTAGTTGCAATTGTGATACTTGTTGATTTTACACAAACAATAATTTTCTTTATTATTATTATCATTGTTATAACATCTATGAGAAAGTTAGAAACAGCATCAAATAGACATGCTGAAGGAATTAGTCTTGACACAAGTCCTTGTTCAAGAATCTGTGAGCTAAGAGTGTCAATCTTCCCTGCTATTCCTGTTCTTCCAGGCTGTTGTCAAGTTCATAATTATCATTGCATATCATAAGTCATAACATTAATTAATTGTTTGTTTTTTTTTAATAAAATAAAATAACACACTTAATAAAACAGTAACATGTAAAATCAATACCTTCTTTTAGCTGGAAACCTCCACTAAAGTATTGCAGTAAGTTGATTCCAAGCATAGCTTGGTAAAAAATAAATTGCTTCTTCCAGAGCTGCAGATCTGAGCATGCGCGACCACACCCAAATTTTGGAGCACATGGCAAGCTTCTTTAATTAACAAAATGGCGGCATGCAGCTAAGATGGCTCGATCCAGCAGTCACTCACAGTATCACTTTTTCCTCACTTGAAGAATGATCTGATGGGACATGGACCTGCGCATAGACTGTTGGAGTAGATTGGTGTAAGAATTATCCTTGTAGCACCAACCAATACTGAGATACACACCGACAACTGGATTGACAGGACTTCTGACTTGATGATGAAGATGAAAAAAGGAGGCTGAACAAAACGGCCGGTTCGCCGATTTTTGGATTTTCTCTTAGACAAGGTCTAGAGCCACGATAGTGGTACCAATGGAGTCCTCTGGTCAAGATGAGGTCCTCTAAGAAGTCTGGTAAGCATAGGAGCTCGTTTTCCCAGTATAGCAAGGTTGCAAAAGTCGTGGCAGCCATTTTGTTTGGGGGTGAATCCTACTTAGTAACGCTACCGCGTTACTAATAGTACAGGGATTTTGGTCTGATTTTGGAGCAACTTTTAAAATTTGTAAAAAATTCAATTTTGATTGGAATCAGCTTGAACTTTCTACACAACATAAGAACTTGTATATGTATCAGGAAAAATTATAAAAATGGAGAATTGTCTCCTTTTTAATTTTGGCAAATTTTGGCCAATGACCCTGTACTATAGTACAGGGACTTTTACCCAATTTTGGAGCAGCGTTAAAAATTTGTAAAAAATGCAGTTTTGATCGGAATCAGCTCAAAATTTCTATACAACATAAGAACATGTATATGTATCAGGAAATTTTTTTTTAAATAAAGAATTCTCTCCTTTTCAGTTTTGGCAAAAATTTGGCCCCAAGGCCAAAAATTTTTAAGAATTCAATTTTGATGGGAATCAACTCCAAGTTTTCACACAACTTGAGAACATGCATATGTATTAGAAACTCTAATTTCAATTACAATTACTATTACAGACACTAGTATTTTTCACTATTTCTATTACATGGTAACTTCTAAGTGCTATTACCATAGAATGCATGTTAGAACAATTATTAATTTTTAACATAATTATTGACACATAAATGATTTATTATTAACATACCAGGCATCAATATGATATTGCTATTCTTCCTTAAATATTGTTATGATATATTTTTATTTATTTATTGTTCAGTTGTGGTACTGACTGAAGTTGATAGACTCACTAAAGATGCACAGCATGCATTGAGACGAACAATGGAACTATACACAGGAACATGTCGTCTTATACTAGTCT